GCGAAATGATCAATACGCACGTCCACGAAACCATCATCGAGAATCATGAAGTACTGGAGGCCGAGGCCCACAGCCTCAAATTCTTCCCCGGACAGGATTTCAGTGAGTATCTAGCCAAACACCAGAGCATCCGGCACAAAATGATACTCGCAAACTACCCCAACATCAATCGCGAGAGAACCACAATCAACTACATGATACAGGGACTTACCCAGCACCCAGACCTCAGCACCCTCGCCCCACAACTGACCGGCCACCCTCGCACCACCATAATTATGCTGGTGCGAGGGTGGCCGGTCAGTAGGAGGGCGAGGGTGCTGAGGTCTGGGTGCTGGGTAAGTCCCTGTATCATGTAGTTGATTGTGGTTCTCTCGCGATTGATGTTGGGGTAGTTTGCGAGTATCATTTTGTGCCGGATGCTCTGGTGTTTGGCTAGATACTCACTGAAATCCTGTCCGGGGAAGAATTTGAGGCTGTGGGCCTCGGCCTCCAGTACTTCATGATTCTCGATGATGGTTTCGTGGACGTGCGTATTGATCATTTCGCATATGATGTGTGGTTCTTCCCTGAGGATATTGGGGGGTAGCTGCGGTATGAGATCGTTGTGTATGCTTTGCATGATGATCGTCCTAAGCGCATCGGCTTTATCCTGATTCTGTTTGCTGATAGCAGGGTCTTGGGTGTGTTTCGGTGCTGCTTCTAGGAGCGGTTCTACCTCTATGGTACGCGTGTAAATATGTAGAGCGTCGTGCCAGAATGTGCAGTTCGATTTTGTCAGTGCGGGTAGCGCGGGTTGTTGTGTTGATGAGTTCGTAGTGTTGTGTTTTTGCGGTTGTGTGTCGTGATTTTCTGCCTCTGCTATCCGTGCTGATGCGTAGAGTTCGTGTGTGAGTTGCTCTTACTCTCGGGCGCGGTTACGTCGGGTCGCCCTTTGATCGCGGTCTCTCGGTTTTGTCGTGGTGGCTGGTGGTGGTCGGTCTGGTGGTGAAGTTCAGTGGTCGTAGTGGCCCATAACCTGTGAACCAAGAGATCCGGCTGCCGGGGTCCCCCTGACCGCAAGGGGCCGCTGGCGCCGGTATAATTACTGACTCTGTCCTATCGTACGTCTATAAATAAGGCTGTGCCTTATTTGCGTGTTTGTATGGAATCACACTGCTGAACCCTTTTCTCCGCATGGCAGCAGCGCGAGCGTTGTAATGTCGCCAAATCTTCTTCCCGCGGGGTTGCACTGCTGCCGCGGAAGTGCACTCACTCGGCCACCACCGCTTGAAAGCTTTAATTTGCCTCCTGTAGGCCGTGACAATGCAGAGCAACAATCACGTCCCTCCCTGGCTCCCGACTGTGCACACAGTAAAGTTTTGTACCACGCCCGCGCCACACTCACATGACGTAAATCTGCACCTCATCCATCCACCCCTTCCCCCACCACCGCTGTACCGCCGCGCTGCATCTCTCCCACGCCTCCCGCGATGACCGTCTTCTCCGAGCTGGACGTCACGCCCTCCGCGACTTTCTCGACGCTCCAGTCGGGCAGCGAGGTCGTGAACGCCCTCATCGTCGCCCTGTTCACCGTCTTCATCATCTCCAACATCGTCTCCGTCGTCACCAAGCTCGTGTACATCGCGCACGAGTTCTCCTTTACCTACGCCGCCCTCCTGCGCGCCTTCATCTTCAACAACTCGGACGACCCGCTGCGCCTCATCTCGTGGCTGCGCCACAACTACACCTACAAGGACCGCGCCGCCGCGCGCTACCGCAACGCCCTCAAGCCCGCCCGCCTCCTCTTCCCCGTCTTCGCTCGCCTCATCATCCTCGCCGTCTCCATCGCCTCGGTTGCCATCGCCGTCCCCGGCACCAAGCAGCTGCCGGCGTGCACGCCGGACCACCGCCTCGTCATCGATGCTTCGGCCCCCGCGCCCGCCGCCCCGCTCAACCGCGTGTGCGCCGACCTGCAGCTGAGCACGCGCCTCGGCCAGCTGCGCTCGTCCGCGTCGTACTGCTCGTGCTTCACCTCGTTCAGCTTCAAGCCCGAGGAGCTAGAGTCGTTTGGCCCGTTCTTAGAGGGCCGCGGCCTGATTTTCACGCAGTTCATCAACAACGTGAGGTTCTCGGGCATCTTTAGCCGCGGGCTGGGCGCCGCCCACCGATTCTACGTCGCGTGGAAGCGTGACGCCACAGACCAGGCGCCGCTCTTCTCTGACCTGGCCAACCTCGACCCCGATGCGCACATCGACGTAATCAGCGCGGCTCTGTCGCAAGCCACGGGCCAAGACTGCTCCGTCTTCGATACGACCGAACTTGAAGACGACCCCTCCGCGAAAATCGCCTTCGTCAACTGCGAATTCGACACTGGCATCCTCATCCCAGTCGTGGAAAGCTACGTGAACAACGCCCTCAAGTGGGTGCCGCTGCCCAGCGGCACGGTGGACGTCCGTCTGGACGGGGCCGCGGCGTCGCCGGCGACGAACGAGTGCCCTGTGACGGTGCTCGTCTCGCGGCCGATCGTGAACATCCTGCCGCTGGGGCTGACGCTACTCCTCCTCGTCGTCGTCAACGTACTCGTGAGCGTGTACACGTCGCGGCGCGGCAACGCGTTCGACGCGGGGTTCCACCTCGTGAAGGAGGCGCTCGGGCACGACACGACGTCCAACCCGCTGGAAGAGAACACGAACCGGGACGAGGCGATGGAGCTGCCGCTGCGCAAGTGGCGGTGCGGGCGCGGCGCGGCGCACATGGGCTTCATCGGGCGCGAGGGCGACGTGCCCGTGGCCGGGTTCGACGGCACGACCAACGTGTGCGGGTGCAACCGGGTGGCGACCGAGATCGAGCGCGCCGCCGCCGCGCCGGAGCTCCCCGCCTCCGCCGCGCCCCCGCCGGGCAGCCCGGCGTCGAGCGCAGCGCACGTGCCCGGCAGCGTCGCGTCCAGCGGCGCCACGCCGTTCAGCGTCGCGGCACCGACGGCCGGCACGTCGCAGACGCTCAGCAGCGCGGGACTGGGGGGCGGGAACGCGATGTAGGGTTGCGGGGGCGGGGTATAAGAAGGCTCGCGCGTGCCGCGAGCTGGGGGGTGCCGACGGTTGGGACGAGCGCCAGCAGGGCGGAAGACAAAAGTAGATGGCTGTAGGTTGGCGCTGCTGGCGGAGGGGGTGAGGTGCTGGACGGTGGTGTCCTTCGAAACAGGTTCTAGATTGACTGGTGCGTTGCAACTTGCTTGCAAGTTGCAAGACTGAAGGGTGTTTTTTATCAACGGGAATGGGTGAGAGCGACTTGCGCAATACGGTATAACAGACAGAGGGGGCGCCACCGTCTGTCGCGAGAGGGAGAGACACACGCAAGCAGGAAGACTTTCATTCAATGTCGTTTGGAACGACCCTATTATACGGGTACACGCAAGGACGGACTATCTGTATCGCTGTCGAAGTGAGTGGAGTAGCGTAGGCGTGCAAATTCAAGTGGTGGTGCAATTGCTGTGGAAATAAAGAGTGGCAACATTCCGGCGACTGCAAACCTAAGAAACATATTTGAATTACTATTCCGCAACGATGATCCCCTTCCAGCACATTTGTGGCTTTCGCCGAGTAGTCGATCAAGATCAAGTGCGAGCGTCGCTTGCTTCCGCCATATTCCGACGACACTGATGTTGTGCCTGAAGAAGTGAGCTTCCTTCCCTCGCCCACAATGACCACGTGTTGCAAGCCTCAACGTGGAGTGAGGGTCGCTGCGGGTGGTGAGTATGGCCCCGTTACCGTGCGTTTCGCCGCCGAGTAAAGTGACGGCCTGCCTGGAAGGCATCGCCCCCATCAAGCCTCTCGGCCGCCAGACAAGAAGACGGCGCGCCGGGTGCGCGGCTGCCCGGCGGGGGCGCGCGATCAAAACGGGCGCGCGGCCACCTGTTGCGCGCCAAGGCCTCCCCGCGCGACTGCTGCAGATTCAAGCCCCATTTTAGCTTACCCGGGCCGCCGTCCGCCGTCCGCCGTCCGCCGCGCGTAACTGCGCCCTCTCTCCACGTGCTTATTTCGGCGCGCCCCACGCGGGGCGCGGCCGGTCGCAGTCGCTGAGGTGCGGGCGGATGGCCCGTGCCGGCGGGTTAACGCAAATCGCGCCGCCGTGCGTCTTCTACGTCGCACGTGGCATGGCTGCAGCTCCGCCCGCAAACGCTTCCCGTTCAAACCACGCGCGACTCGCAGCGCAAGCACCATGCCGACCTGCTTCCCCGCTCGTGCGCAACAATGCGCGCATCCCTTTCAAAGCGCGTGCGTCCGAATAAGCGTCGCCGCCGCCGTTGCGCGCGCCCTCACCCCGACGCGCTGTGCTTCCCTCCCCCTTCCCCCGCTCTCCCTTGCGCGCGCGCACGCCCGTCGCCGCCGCACGTATGGACAGCGCTCGAGACCCCGCCGCGTTCTAGTCGCGTGGCGGACGCTTCCCCGCCGCGACCCGGCTTGCAGCAGCAGCGGGATGGGAAGCTGGGGCGCACTGTTCTCGCCGCTGACAGAGCGTGGCGGCGGCGGGGCGCAGTCTAGACAAACTCATAGAACATCTTTCGTCGTCTCTACTCTCGCTCCTACTTATCCGTCTCGCTTATCCGTCTCGCTGCTGGCTGTGATCAGACAGCTTATCGCGGTGGGTCTGTCACTGGAGGCCGCATGTGTTACCTGTGCCGGCCAGGACACTTTTCCCTTTTGCCCAGTGCTTTTCTCTCCCAGTAACCGATGCCCCTTGCAAGGACGGTGTTCGTAATTGGAGTGAGTGACGACGCTGACGCTCCGTAAAGGGAGAGGCCCAAATGTTTAGTAAAATTGAAATTTATGGTAAAATTGAGGAAAAAAGTTGGCCTCGTTTAAAAAGTTGGTCTCGTTTGCCACTTGTCTTCTCACACGTGTGGAAACCTGTGCACGTGGAAACCTGTGCACGTGTACCCATCGCCTCTTCAAAGTGAGATTGGCCCCCGCTTTGACCCGGTCTGCAACGCTTCTCAACACACCGTTCATTCACGAATACCTTTATATCTTCACTCGCCCGCAACTAATGGCCAGCTGCCTGCACATCATTGCATTGCACAAGATATTAAATTGAGCACAAGAGCGCACGATGAACGGAAGCAGATCGCTAGTTCATACATGGACACATAAATGGATTGCAACGTCCGTGAGGCGAGCTTCTCACGCATTCATGAATCAAAAACAAAGCAAAAAACCGTCAACGCACTACTACTGTCACGGGCGGCAAGCGGCCATCGCACTTCGATACTTACTTACACCACTACCTTACACCACTAGCTTCATGATAGCAACCAGATTGCCCACCCCTGCAACTGCGACCCCGTGATCGTGGTCTATCTGCAAGTCTATTGGATTGTCCAACTGGGCCAAGACAGCCTCAGACCCATCCTCTCGCCTTTGCACAATTCTTCCCTCCCTTACAAATATTTGTGATGTTCGTCCTGCGCGGGAAGCAGTACCCAAGTCTGCCGTCTTCAGGAACCGAGCTGTGATTTCTTCCAAATCCTCTTTCCTCCCGGTATGAAATGTGATCCCTCTCTCCACGTCCCACACCCGCACGCTCCCGTCATCCGATCCAGATACCACACGTCTTCCGTCCCCACTCATCGCAACGCTACGCACCCAATCCGTGTGTCCAACTAACGCCTCCCCGACTTGTGCTCCCGTCTCCACGTCCCACACCCGCACGCTCTTGTCCCCCGATCCAGATACCACACGTCTTCCGTCCCCACTCATCGCAACGCTACGCACCCAATTCGTGTGTCCAACTAACGCCTCCCCGACTTGTGCTCCCGTCTCCACGTCCCACACCCGCACGCTCCCGTCATCCGATCCAGATACCACACGTCTTCCGTCCCCACTCATCGCAACGCTATCCACCGAACCCGTGTGTCCAACTAACGCCTCCCCGACTTGTGCTCCCGTCTCCACGTCCCACACCTGCACGCTCCCGTCTTCCGATCCAGATACCACACGTCTTCCGTCCCCACTCATCGCAACGCTCCACACCCAACTCGTGTGTCCAACTAACGCCTCCCCGACTTGTGCTCCCGTCTCCACGTCCCACACCCGCACGCTCCTGTCCCCCGATCCAGATACCACACGTCTTCCGTCCCCACTCATCGCAACACTACCCACCCAAGCCGTGTGTCCAACTAACGCCTCCCCGACTTGTGCTCCCGTCTCCACGTCCCACACACGCACGCTCTTGTCATCCGATCCAGATACCACATGTCTTCCATCCCCACTCATCGCAACGCTACGCACCCAACCCGTGTGTCCAACTAACGCCTCCCCGACTTGTGCTCCCGTCTCCACGTCCCACACCCGCACGCTCCTGTCCCCCGATCCAGATACCACACGTCTTCCGTCCCCACTCATCGCAACACAATTCATTCTCGACTTGTGACCACGGAAAATTCTCAATACTTTCCTCTCCGACGTACTCCACAGCCTTAACGTCCCGTCTTCATATCCCACAACAACATTCTCCTTCCTCTCACAGAGAGTTGCGCAGGTGGCTCTTGTCACGCTCGGGTTATCTGCAGTCACTTCGGAGGTTACACTTCCAAAGCACATTCCAAAATATGCCCTCAAACGTCGACACATTTTGCGCCTGCTTGCTTCAAGATCCCCTGGGCCCTGCCTCTCCGTTTCGAACTCGCCTTCTAATTCAACCATCTTCATCTCCTTCTCAGCAGATTGCGTGAAAACTACTACTTTTGCCCCGGACGCCACTTGACATCCATACACTTCACCACTGGAATCCATGCCCACTTGAATTTTAGTACCGAAATTTGGCAAAACAATCTGCTCCACCATCTTTCCATCGGCTCGCGCTACACATTCACTCACAGGCCGCACCCACGGCCGTGGTGCGTATCTCTCAATTTCCTCCAGCATTTTTCCCACACAACTTGAATCCCGTGCCTTGTGCTTCACTCGCCCATATAGTTGAAAGTAAATCCCGGCACTGTTTTCACCACAAAACGGTACACTCAGTCGCGCCGCCCGCATCATCAAAACCATTCCATCCACTGCATCCTCATCTGCCCGTCCCATTCCCACCTTCCCGCTTCCTCCTTTCCCTTTCAAGTCTCTACTCAATCCCTTCACAGCTTCCTCGTATTGCCAAACCCCGCCTCTCCGTATCACTGTCTTCACCCATCGCGCACTCAAAAATAGCCTCTTCAGATCCTCTACACACCCACCATGTTTCAAAACACGATATATATTCGCGAAAACATACTCCTCCCGTGCGCTCTTCCCCTCTCCGTCTCGGTCCTCACTCATCGCAAGCAACCCTTCTCCTGCCCTGCTGCACACATCCGCCACCTTCTTATACCACTCTTCTACACCCTCCTTCTTCTTCGCTTCTTCCACCGCGAAATCGTGCGTCAGATCATGCACCCGCAACCCACCGCAATCCTTCTCATACTGCACTTCTACTAGTCCAACCCTTTCCATCTCCTTTGCACACCTTTCCGTCCGCTCCTCGTCCATCTCCCACAAATCTCCAACCAAACTCAAAGGTATCCGGTCTTGCTTCTTCATAACGCACAGACTCCGGTGCATCTTTCGAAACGAAAACTCATCATCCGTCTCCCCACTCCTTCCCACATCCGACTCCAGGATATCTAGTGACGTATGCAATGTCCCATCCAACGACGAATATCCGTCCTTCGGACTCTCCCCGCGAATGTTACGACTCTTCATCTTCGAAAGGTACGCCCCCCATGCTTCTGTTACTTCTCCCTCCCATCTTTCCCTCATGTACCTCACGCTCGTTCCCGCCACGTTCAGCGCAAGCGGCAATCCGCCACACATTTTCAGTATTTCACCCACGGCTTCCTTGCATCTCGCATCATACACTTCCTCTCCATTTGCCTCACTCGCGTGCACAAGCATCTCAACTGCTTCTTTCCCTACCTTCTCCCTCGGCTCGAAAGCAACCCGCTCCCCAATCTGACGCAGCTCCTTATCCCTCGTGGAATACAGTAGTCTGCTCCTTCCCCCGCTGCCCCCCGCAGTCTCAGCCAGAACAGACAACTTTTGAAGGATATTCGCGTCTATATCATTCACCACCCACACATCATCAATGATGAACAGGCACACATGACTACAAAACCACGCTTGTACCTTCGCTAACACCCTTTCAAACTCGCTCTGCTCTCGCATTTCCACAGCCGTCTGGTTCCCACCGGACGCTTCCACAATCAGACACAGTTCTTCAATCAGCCGTCCCACGTTTCCATCTTTCCCCAACGACATGAAGTACACTCCTCCCGAGAACTCTGTCATAATCTCAACGTCGTGCGCGATCGCTCGTAGAGCACATGTCTTCCCGACTCCGCCCTGTCCCACTGCTGTCGCACCCACTTGCTTGTTCCTATCTCTCCGTAGCACAGCCGCTTTTAGACGCGATTCACACGTGTTTGGTAATCCATCGCTCCCCCGAGAATCAAGCTTCACACATATCGACGCAGGATTATGTTCGGCTCTTATCGACGCCCTGAACATATTACCCGTGCCTCGTCTGATCGACTCGACGGCCGTGCGAGGATCGATGCCCGTGCTTGCTTGTACAATACGTTTGTGAAGGCGGTCCGCTTCTTGCTTTCGCTTCTCTAGGACTTCTCTATCTCCCATCGCAGAGGCGAACGCACCGAGTCTCGCTTTTGGGTCATCCAATTCTTTCTGCAGCTCAGCGAGGGACTTCAATATGAAGCTAAAGATGCCGTCGATTTCACGTCGGAGCAAGCCCGTGTGCTGCGACGACGTTCCATGAATCGGCATGTTTTCAAGCTCCGTGATGTCTGCCTGCAAGGTGGTGTAGGCGGTGAGCACTTCCGTAGACAGCGTTTTGTTTTCCTTGTAGGCTTTGTGTCGTTCGATGAGACTTGCCATGAGGCGGACGACTTGCTCAGCCGGGCCGGTGAGGCCCAAGATACTGTATGGATCGGCCATGGTGATATTACCCGTGCCTCGCCTGGCCGACTCGACGGCCATGCTCGCTTGTAGAATACGTTGGTGAAGGCGGTCCGCTTCCTGCTTGCGCGTCTTTAGGACTTCTCTATCTTCCATCGCAGAGGCGAACGCACCAAGTCTCGCTTTTGGGTCATCCAATTCTTTCTGCAGCTCAGCGAGGGACTTCAATATGAAGCTAGAGATGCCGTCGATTTCACGTCGGAGCAAGCCCGTGTGCTGCGACGACGTTCCATGAATCGGCATGTTTTCAAGCTCCGTGATGTCTGCCTGCAAGGTGGTGTAGGCGGTGAGCACTTCCGTAGACAGCGTTTTGTTTTCCTTGTAGGCTTTGTGTCGTTCGATGAGACTTGCCATGATGCCGACGACTTGCTCAGCCGGGCCGGTGAGGCCCAAGATACTGTATGGATCGGCCATGGTGTTTGCGAATAGGGGGTGTTGTTCGGATTTGATTAGGCGGCGGTGGCAAAGCGGTGCTTACTCTTTTCTATATCTCTCTCTCGGAATCTCTTTTTTCTCTCTTGTCGTTGTCAGTCGTTACCCAAGGGTAGTCGTTTTTCGTTCTTGGTCTTCTCGCAGAGAGGGCGGGAAAGGTTTGCTTCCACCCTTCGCATTCGAATAAATGCAGGACATCCAATGGCCCACAGCTATTTTACGGTAGGTGCCCGCTTGACAGTGATTTTGAGTGATTTCCTACGCTGAAAAAACAGGGCGGCGGTTGTGCGGATTGTTGCTGCGGTGTTGGCACATCGT